CCAACCGGGAATATAGTTTATGACCCTGAAAGCATAAACAACACCTTCAGAGACTTTTACCAAACTTTGTACTCACCACAGATAAACCCATCAGATAATGAGATCAATGAGTTCCTTGACAGGATAACACTTCCTAAATTATCAGACAGCCAAGTTACAGTCCTGGACTCGCCACTAACATCAGCGGAGCTCCAGGAAGCCCTTAAATCCATGACGAATAGGAAAGCTCCAGGTCCAGACGGGTTACCAGCAGAGTTCTACAAAGAATTCTGGATCATTCTGGCTCCAATATTTTTCAGAATGGTGAGGGAAATCGAAGAGAGCGTCAGATTACAGCCAAACATGAACTCAGCCAATATTAGTCTCTTGTTAAAACCAGGCAAATACCCTGCATTTCCTACCAGCTATCGCCCAATCTCCCTTATTAATATTGATCTCAAAATAATTTGTAAAGCCCTGGCAAAAAGATTAGAGAAGGTAACCCCCTTCATAATACACCCTGACCAAACTGGTTTCATCAAGGGTAGACAGTCATCCACAAACTCGCGTAGATTACTTAATTTTACTTAATTTGATAGATTTCTCTTACAGTAGAAACATAAACTAGTATATTATCTCTAGATGCAGAAAAGGCTTTTGATAGAGTTAACTGGAAGTTCTTATTTGCAACTTTACATAAGTTTGGGTTTGGGAACTTCTTCTACAAACATTATACAGTTCACCAACTGCACGTGCAAATTCAGCTAGCTTCTGTCTTCAGAGGGGGACCAGGCAGGGATGCCCACTCTCCCCCTCACTGTTTGCCATTTTTAATCGAACCACTTGTGGCAGCAATTAGGCAAGCAACAAATATTAAAGGGATATTGTGTAAGAAAATAGAACATAAGATCAGTCTTTATGCAGATGATGTTTTACTCTTTCTCCGGAATTCTCAATCCTCTCTCCCATTCAATAGAACTGATTGTCATGATGTGAAGGGTGGAGATGGTGGACCAAGTGTGGTGGAGGGTTCCAGGAGGCAGAAGAGCAGGCACGGATGGCCCCGACCACCCTGAAAAAGCTAGGATGCGCCGGAATCTCCCAGAGGGCTCGACCACCCCGAGAACAGGTAGGATGCGCTGAAAAACCAAAAACTCCAGGCTGAAATCTCCCTCCGCTGAAAGGGACAAAAAGAAAAAATAATCCTCCAGAAACAGAATGGTAAGCTCACCACAGGTCTAGGTTGGTCGGATCATTCTGTCATGATGTGAAGGGTGGAGACAGTGGACCAAGTGTGGTGGAGGGTTCCAGGAGGCAGAAGAGCAGGCACGGATGAAATAAAAATGGGTTTAATAGCAACGGGAGCGACAGGACAAAACGAGACATGCACATACACAAACATCCGACAAAGGACAGGAGAAAACAGGTGGTATAAATACACAAGGCTAATTAGGAAAACATGGGCAGGTTAACGAGGGACAGGTGAGAACAATATGGACTAATCAGGGCAGGAGAGAGACAGTCAGGAGGGCAGGGGCAGATCGTGACACTGATAAACTCTTTTTCAAGAGTTTCAGATTACTCTATAAACTGGTTAAAATCCACAGTTCTACCAATTAATTTCTCTTTTGTCAATTTGCTTAATACACAATTGAAGTCAGGGTATATCACATATGTCTCTCCCAAGTTAGCAGATCTGACCAAACTAAACTACATCCCACTTTTAAAGAAAGTGGAAGATGATCTTGCAAGATGGAAATCCTTACCAATATCACTCATGGGGAGGGTTGCTACAGTTAAAATGATGGTCTTACCCAGAATAAATTACTTTTAAATTACTTATTCTCGATGGATATAATTAATTTTACTTGTAAAAAAATCCATAAAGTTATTGCTGCTGAGGGCTAAGGGAATAGATGGCTCAGAGCTATGATTCTGTGTAAGTTTAGCAACTGTACTGAAAAGAATTTTAGGATTATTCTTATTCTCCTCAATTAACGCTGAAAAAAAAGCACTTCTAGTTTGTTGAAGCTAATTTTTATAAAGCACAAGACTATTTTTCCAGGATAAGTAGGACTCCTCATGGTACGTAGAGCGCCATGTTCTCTCCAATTTCCTAGAGTTTTGTTTTAAGGCTCGTAAATGAGAATCAAACCAGGGAGCCGGCTTCCTGTCCCTAATTACCTTCTTTTTTAAAGGGGCAACATCATCTAATGCCACACGTAAAGAGGAATTAACATGATGAACTAAGGCATCAATTTGTGAGGGGTTAGAACTGAGAATATTGCCCTCTGCTACTTTCCTCTGAGATGCTGAGGACAGTAAAGATGGAACTGATTTAAAAGATGCAACTGCGTTGTCAGATAGAGACCGGCTATAGTGAAATTTACTTTCATGTCTCGAGAACTCAGTTATAAAAAACTCAAAGGTTATCAGAAAGTGGTCCGAGAGGACTGGATTATGTGGAAAGATTGTTATTTCCTCACACTCAATGCCATAAGTCTGCACAAGGTCTAATGTATGATGGCAGGAGTGGGTGGAGCTATGTATTCTTTGAGTAAAACCAATTGAGTCTAAGATATTACTAAAGGCTACATTGAGGCAATCATTTTTAATGTCCACATGAATGTTAAAATCCCCCACTATAATGACCTTATCAGTATTTAGCACCAAATCAGATAAAAAATCAGAGATCTGATCCAAAAACTCAGAGTAGGGGCCTGGTGGACGATATAAAACTACAAACAAGTGTGGTTTTACAGTTTTGCAATCTGGATTAGGAAAACTAAGAATACGATGTTCAAACGAACTGTAGCTATTAATTGGTAAGGGACTGATTAATAAGTCCGAATGAAAAATGGTTGCTACTCCTCCTCCTCGCCCTGTACTTCGAGCAATATGATGATTTAAATAATTAGAAGCAGTAGCGGTTTTAGGCACGGGCAGACAGGGCAGTTGCCCGGGGCGGCATTTTTTCATGACACAAAAGGGGCGCACAAGCGCGGAGTAAAAAAAAAAAAGGAAATCTGCGCCGCACCGAGGTTTTCTATTATCTGTCTTATGACAGTGTCTGGATTGGAAACAGCAAGTTGGCGCCCCCTGCAGTTGCAGGCGCTCCTGCTGACTGAGAACGTTCACGTGCTCCGTGTGTCTAAAGAACAGGAAGGGGAGGGGTGCGGCGGGGGAATTCACCTCTGCGTCTTTCCCAAATGAATGAGCGTGCAGGGGCTGAATCAACTGTATTAACATGGCTAAAGTCAATCACATCTTAACGTTCTTCCATATTTCATTCATAATATCATAAACACAGGCCTTTCATTCTTTCAGGTTTCTCTGAATTGTGTGAAATGGCCGAATAAAAAAAGGAAAAACAAAACGATTTTGTGGTCACCCCCCCATCAAGGTCAAATTGTTTAGTCCTGACTAAAGGAAACTTACTGAGTCAGGAGACAAACAGAAGAGATGAACATAAAAAGGCTAAAACCACCAGGTGCCCGATTCAGGGGAAAAAAAAAGAAAAAAGAGCAGAAAGATAAAGGTATGTAGCTCTCATGATGCATGTTTTCAATTTTTTGAACCAGTTAACTGGGATTTTAACGGTTAAATGCGGTCAACTAATTGCTAACAGAGCTAATAGGGCTGAAATATTGAAACGAATATTCAAATGGTTTGAAAAAAGTCCTCGAATCGTTTTTTACTGATTCAAACTAGGATTTGTTAAATGCTCACTGCAGCCCGTGGCCTGCCTGAACAACAACAAACACATGTTGATCATGTTCACATAATAATAAATAAAACAATTCTACAAGCAGAAGAAAACTTCCCAGTCACCACTAACTATCCTGTTTATTTATTGCAGATGGCTGCACTGATTATTTTTTACATGATTTGTTCTGTAAAAGTTGGCATTTTTGGTAGTCTACAGTTTTTTATGTCAGTTTAAATTACAATTTCAGAGGCAATTCTAAAATATTATGGATCATGATAAAGATCTATTGGAGATCTACCCCAACTTTTGGACTGCTCTGTCAGTCACTGTGGCTCAAGCTGAGAGGAGCTTTTCAAAACTTGATCAAGTCATACCTGAGGTCATCTATGTTTCAGGGGCGGCTCACTAACCTGGCTCTGATTAGTATCAATCACTCAGTAGGGGAGCAGATTTCATGTGATGACATTATTGATGACGTTGCATCAAGGTTAGGTTTTAATTTTAGTTTGTGTTTTCTATTCTAAGTGCAATGCTGTAGTGATTATCTTTAGTTTGTTACGTGTGAAATATTTTTGCTATTTAGAATATTTATTATCTATTATGTTCATATATTCTTAATATTTAGTTATTGTTTGTTTTTGTATATTTGATTCTATATATTTTGATACAGTATATAATGTACAGTGCTTTACATTCTGACAACTTCATAGTAATTAATGTAAATATGTGCAACTTAGAAAAATGAATGTTCAATAGTCGTTCTAATAAAACATGCCTGTTTGTAGAAAACATGCGTGTGTTCATGCAGGTGGGGTGGTGTGGTGGCGGTGGTGGTGGGGGTTGGGGGGGGGGGCGCTCAAAGGGGGCCTCGCCCGGGGAGTAATTCGATGTAGAACCGCCACTGATTAGAAGGAGTCAACTGTTTAAAGTAACATAGTCCTCGTTTAAACTAGCAAAGTCCTCTTGCAGCCGAGTCAAGACCAATAATTCATAAAATGTGTAGTGACCTCAATACAATTTGGGTTAAATTAATCATTTTTTAATTAATATACATTAAATTGTAAGAAGTATGGATAAAACAAGCACGCACAATATTTTAGATCGACTTTTATTGGCAGCAACAGGATCATGATGAAACGGTGAGCAGTTGTAACGGTTAACTTTTACACAAAAGTTGAAATAAGAATATCACTTCACTCTGACTATTGTGTTGTCAGTTATTAACACAGATATTCCCATATGAGCCACTGCGTCTTCATCAGCCACGCCTCGCGTGCGTAAAAGTCCGCAACATCCACGCGCAGAGCCCGAGAGCTTTTTTTGATGGAGCCGAGGTGAGCCGGTGCAGGTGGACTCAGTTCTCACATTAACGTGTCCAGTAGGAGGAGTTCGGGATGCGTTCGGTACCGGAGCACTGTCTCACGTGCCGACATCATGACGCGTAATGTATGAGCAGAAGGAGGAGGAGGAGGATGCTGGATCATGATGAGGCAGGAGGAAGCATGATGAGACTGGTCCAGCAGCAAGTCGAAACCGGTATGAAGATCCAGGCCACGGGCGAGCACGTCGGCTGCAGCAAGGTTGGAGAGAATCCCGACAGCCAGGTCATCTGTCTGCAGTGTCAGGAGGAGGTGGTTCGGGTCTGTCCGGGGAGTCCGAGAAGTCCCCGCCGCGCCGTCGGCACGCGTCTCTCCTCCGGTTCGGCAGGTAAATGCGTCCCGGGCAGCGAATCAGGTTAGAGATAGAGATACAGAAAGAGGGAAACATCCTTTTTTCTATCAATCAGTGGTAAAGTGGGAGAACTTCAAACATCTTTCTTCAAGAGAACGTTGCATTGTGATATTGTGCATCAATGAAGCTGTCCGACATGATTAATTATGGATGGCTCTGAAATGGCTCTAAAGGAGCTCCAGGGCTTTGACAAGAAATAAATTACAGTTTATCTGCAAACTTGGAATCAGGACGTGAAGGAAAATGAATGTGCTGCGGAAGATCTTTTAGGATGCAGCTGGGATTAGAAATAAGAAAATGAGAAATTCCTGAAACGTGAAGCATTTAGTATCTGTTTCTCATAAAGTCAGTGTTGTGAAGAACCTGTTTCCAGTCTAAGTTCCAGTTTGTTACCCTGAAATAACATACATTTATAATATAATTCATGCAAGAGTCACAGAGATGTGTTTTAGAGCTTGTTTGAAAAAAAATACTTTTTGGTGCATCTTAACTTAAAATAACCAAATGGGTTAAATGTGTTGCTGTGACTGATTCAGTTGGTCACAGGTGAAAGTTGCTCTTCTTTGCAAAATTGAGCTTGCAAACTTCAATGTCACAAAAAGTAATAATTTGCATTCTTGTTTTTGTGTTAAATTTATAAATCAACAAGATTTTACCCATAGATCGCTTCCTGAATAGCCTCAATTTGGAGAAGTAAGGTTTACATCTAGGACTGATGAGCTAACGGCTAGTCTAAGTGCAAGACTAAAATGTTGCTGCCATCTTAAAACAGCTCCAGCCTGATAGTTTTGTCAGTGACTCATGCAGATGTTTTGTATGAACTGTTACCTCACAATCAATTATTAACTATGAAATAATGGAGGAAGGTGTCATGTTCCTGTTCCTGCCATGCCCCATTTTCACAGCAACGTCAGCCTGCATCTCATCAACTTCATTCATCTCACCTGTTCCTGTCATCAGCTCATCACACACACCTGCTCCCACTGCTATATATTCACCAGCCAACCACCAGTTCCCTGCCAGATTACTGAACGCCACAGCTAGTAAATTCTCCAGCCTCGTTACCTACCTTGCCATCACGGATCCCGAACCCTGCCTCGTCTTCTGACCTTCCTTCTCGTTGTACCTTCCTTGGATTATTCTGCCTCCTCCCCGACCCCGTCTTTGGATATTCCTGTTTGGCATTCTGCATCTCTGCTCCTCTGCTGCTCCGCCCTCGACCTTGTTTTTGGATTTCCCTGTCTGCACCTCTGATCCTCTGGCTACGACCCTGCTTCGTCCCCGACCTCGTTATTGGATTCCCCTATCGGACATTCCTCACCTCGGATCTCCTAGTAACGACCGCTTGTCTCCTGAACAAGTCTCTGCCCCCTCCCATCATCATCTTTCCCCTTTTAATAAATTAGCTTAAAACGTGTCATTCGGTGTTTCTTACGGGTCCGCCAGTTAAGTTCTTGTCAAAGGGCCAAATTAACTGCATCATAATTGTTATGAAGTATTGCTTGATATGCTATGAAATGTATTAACTGTTTTGGGTCAATTTGGTTAAGCACATTCTTCGGTTTGTTAATGCAATCCACTTGGACTCACTCCAGCCGTCTAAAATCAGCTCCTGGAGCCACAAGTTCACCGTGTTAATGCAAATTATTTGATGACCCTTTACATGTAGGTCAGTCACAAGCTGCTGTCATGTAACTTGTGTGTGAAAGTTTGTAAAATTATGTTGCAAAAGCTACTTAGGACATGTTTCAGGACATCAACAATACACTTTAGTTTTGCATCTACTTTACCTAGCCGTTAGCTCATCAATCTTTAACAATATAAACATTATTTCTTCAGATGATGCCATTAAGAAAGTTGTCTAAATATGTAAGATCATGACTGTAGATTTTATTCAGCAGGAACACAGAACAGTAAAAATGCTATAAAAGGAAATATGTTATAACATATATTAATTGTGGCTTTAAAAATGAACAAAAAAGTCAATTTCATTAATTCATTCATTCTTTGACAGCGGATCGTTTCTTTCAGATCTCATTCTCTTAACTCCACCAGTGTTTGTTTCCTGCTGTGGTTTGTGGCACATAAACTGCAGGATTAAGGGTTTCATTCCTGCGACCTCACAGATTAAAGACTTCTCCCTAGTCCCCCGAAGCAGTTCTTAAACTTATGAGGCTTGGTGGACATATTTGAAAGTGTAACATACACCATCATCTCATCCCCAGAGACTACAGAAACTTTTCCCCTCACACTACAGAAAGCTTTGATTGTGAAACTAACAAATGTTCACCGATTAGAGAAAAAAAAATCAATTCCTTTATTGCAGTGTAAATTGCTTTTGATACAAACCCCATGTAATGTGTTTGCCTCATCCACAGACCGTGAACTCAGCAGCAGCAGCTACAATGTCTCTTCAGGAACCTTTTACAGCTGTGTCAGTCAGATCACCATCGGTAAGTCTCAGAGTAAACACATAAAAGGAAGAATACAGCTTTCTCCATTCAGGTGTGTGTGTGTGTGTGTGTGTGTGTGTGTGTGTGTGTGTGTGTGTGTGTGTGTGTGTGTGTGTGTGTGTGTGTGTGTGTGTGTGTGTGTGTGTGTGTGTGTGTGTGTTCATATCTCAGGCAGCAAATGTTGCAGAGAAAGTTATTTACCCTGGATAAGCAGCCTTGATCTAATTTCACTTTCAGGCAGAACGTTGAACTTCTGTACTGTCTGCCCTGTGTACTGTATAAAATTTTTTTTTGCAGTTTTATTCTCACAGGTGGAGCTCTATAGCTTTGGCTATAATGCCACGCCTAATACCAAAACTTTATTATAAATATTTCCAGTTGTTTTAAACACCAACCGACACGGAGACAGAAGTGTAGGAGAAAGGAGGCGAGAGAGGGTGATGGGTTCTTTATGTTTTAAGACAACATGAGAGAAAACCAATGGTCCGTCACAGAGTAGGGCTTCATTTCACAATCACCACAGTCAGCACTGGAAAGCGCACACAGCCTCCTCTTACAGCAAGTTGGGACTATTTCAATACTTTACTGACGTCAGTACTGCATAACCAGGAAATGGACCTAACACATGATTTGAAGTCTAGTTGTCCGACCACATGTTTTTACCAGATTCTGGAAGGCAAAATGTTGTAAATAATGAATAATGGTGATGTGGTGATACCACATTGTGTTTCCTGGAAAAGTTCAGAACATTCGTAATGCCCAAAATACACTTAGTTATACATAAACCCCCAGGAAACATCTGCTGCCTGTTGCCTTCAGATCAATTATCCTCACACAGAATGTACTACATAACAGGATGCTGGCTCCAATGAACCATTTACTGCCTTGGTTCTCAGGCACAACTTTGTAGCTCCAATAAAGGGAGAAGTGGAGGAGTGGGGTTCAGAAAAAAGAAACAATAAATGATGAACAAGAATCTGCTTCTAGACCCGCAGAAAGAGAGAGAGAGAAAAGGGGAACACACAAAAATACAAGATCACTGCGCCAACAACATGAGGATATATAAAAGTTTAAATTTTTGCTGAGAAACACACGGTGATAATTCATAGCGCATTTACTGCGAACCACAGCCACCACACAGGTGATGTGTTAAAAATGCCCAAGTCCATCCTTGTGAGAGCACCATGTGAGCACCTGTGTGCGTTTCTCAATAGGAGTGTCAAATTGTGAGTGTGAGGGGCCACAGACCTGCCCCCAAAGACGTGCGGAAGATGGAGGAGTCAGAGCCATGAAGATCCGAGCGTCTTGCTGAAGCTCAGGAACCCCTGGGAGACAGCAGCCGGAGAAGCCCCAAGCACCCTCCCGAGAGACGCAGAGGATTATCCTGGGGCCACAACCAGCAGCCGCCCACCCTCGAGCGGGCCGAGCTCGGAACACAGTGGCCCAGGGCGACCAACCCCACCAGAGACCTGACAGAGCCCAGGGATCCAGACCCCACCAGGAGCGACCCGACAGATCCCAAAAACTTCCTGTCCCCGATACAGGAGCTGTAGATATGCAAACAAACCGAGGCACCACCAACTGGCAGAAAAAGTGGCAGGTGGAGGGTAGGTGAAGATGTTGTAGCACCACAAGATGTCCCAGGAGAGGGGAGGAGTCCAAGACCCCACCTGACATATACAGTCACACACAAACACAGTCACACGCTCCCTCCCTCATGCCCACACATACACATGTGACCTAAAGACTTACAAGAATGTTCGTGATACACCCACTCACGCTCCCCATACACACCCTACTCACTCTGGTCCCGGTACTGCTGCACAGAGGGTACAACCATTCCTGGACACCAGAGCTAGCACTGTTCTGCTGGGGTAATGATGAGCAGGTACCCCCGCTCAAGGCACAGCAAAGCGACACACCATCTCAGACCCCAACCAGATGACCAGCTCCCACTCCTAGCCTCCAGCCCCAGACAGCTAACCTAGAACAGAGGTATGATAAAACTGCTAGTCTCCCTCCACCGGCTCCAACGGGGTGTTGATGCGTGTTGCTAACGTGCATTCTGTGGTTTGGGGGGGCAGCGCAGGCATCGTCTGGCCTACACCAGCTGATGCCACCACACAACCCCACTTACCCCAGAACCCTCAGTGTCATGTGTTGCTTTAATGGTGTGAGCAGTTGTGTAGAGCAGTGGTTCCCAACCTTTTTCCCAAGGGATCCTGTTTTTTACCAGTAAATTTTTTTTACGAACCCCTCCCATTCTCTCTTCCAGTACAAACATTATTAAGAAATGATAAAATAGTTCAAGCACATTTTAATATGCTTTGATTCAATAGATAACAGTAATAGTAGGCTCCAGTACAGAACAAAGTCATTAACAAAACCAAACAGAGCATAATGTGCTTGACAGTTTGTGTTACTTTTCTGAACACATTGTTTCTTGTAAACACTGATAAATCAGTCATTCCTTTCAATAAACGTTTGACACATAAAAAATACACTGAGCAAAATGTACTTAAATGTGTATATTACTGTTTATACTAGATTATTTACTGTAAAGGCTGTGATTAATCAACCAGTCCTATCTTTAATGAACTTTTGACACTTCAAAATAAAACAGTGAGCTGAGCAAAATGTTCTTAAAAGTGTGTTACTTTTACTGTACTAATTATTTCCTGTCTTAATATCAGTAAACTTTTCACTCATGAAAAAAAAGTGAGCAAAATGTTGGCTATAAACAAGTAATAAATGAAGTTTTAACCCCTTAAAGTGGAGAGGTCCTGGCGACCCACTGAGAGGCTTTGGCGCCCCCTTGTGGGGGTCGGGCCCACCAGGTTAGGAACCACTGGTGTAGAGTACAGATCTTGGCAGGAGTACTAGAGTAATTTTTTGTATGTAACAAACAATGAAAATAAGAATATTCTGATTCGATTTTATAATCTTCAGAGGCTGTGGTGCATGTGTGTTTGTTTCAGACTACAGATAGTTTCCACCAGTTTCGTTTGCTGTTTTTCATGAAAGAGAGTTGCCCCCAATTAGGCCTTAAAGAGGTCCTTCAATGAGACACCATTTTTACTCATATTAACTTCTGATAGAAAATAGAAGGTGACACACTGGGATTAGAAAAGCCTGACAGATCTACATCACACTGTCACTTAAGTCATGGACTCATCCACCCTTACTAGAAACGGGGAAGGCTGTTGTTGGTTTAGTGTCCAGCAAAAAGCAGAGAATGTCTCAGCTAGTAGAAGCTAACCGTTAGCATTAGCAACTCCATCACACAGCAGAACTTCTTCAGGCTTTAGAAGATAAAAGATCAATGCTGCCAAGTAAACAGAGTCAATGGTAGAGTCGTGTTGCTGTCATCCAGTCAGAGGCGAGATGCCCAAATATAATGAAATAAGACTCCAAATCCTGCCGCCTGAAGCTTCGTTCTTCTCTGGCTGAATTCTCTGTGCTGAAACAGGTGCATCTGAGCTTATTTTCCCCAGAGTACGTCTTACAAGGCATTCATTCCTACTAGAGACCACTGCAAAGATACTAAACATATAAGTGAAGGACCTCTTTTAGTCAGTGTCACAGCTCCTTTTTCAGCGGTTTCTTTTTTCTCTGAGCTCTAAAAGGTAAATTGTCTAAAAAGACACTGTTGCCAGCCAGGCTTTGGCCTCTTTCTTTGCAGTAAATTCAGAATATCTTAGTCCTTTTGTGAGTAATGTCAATGTCAATTTTATTTATATAGTACATTTAGCAGCAGCAAATAGCTGTAGCCAAAGTGCTTCACATATTAAAGACAAATAAAAATACAATCCTGAAACTAAAAACAGAATAGGATGATGATTAAAAACCAAACATAATAAATTGACAATAACTAAAAGCAAGGGAATAAAAATATACCTTAAGCCTAGACTTAAACAGGTCAGTTGATGGAGACTTGTTAATAAGTTATGGTAAAGAATTCCACAGACGAGGGGCTGCAACAGCAAAAGCCCAGTTTCTAGTTTTACATCTCATGCTGGGAACAACCAAGGTCATTTGACCAGAGGACCTTAGCACTCTGGAAGGGCAATAGGAAGCACACAGGTCAGATAAGTAGGTAGGCGCCTTCCCATGCAAAGATTTAAAAAACAACAATAAAATTTCAAACTCAATTTTAAAGTCATGGCGGCCAGTTCAGAGAAGCTAAAATCGGAGATACTGAGTCATATTTCCTTGCTCCTGCTATGAATCAAGCTGTAGCTTTCTGGACCAACTAACCTACACAATAATACATCATTATCTACTGTGTCAATTGCAGCAGTGAGATCACGTAAAACCAGAACTGCAGCACCACCAAAGTCAATTATTAGTAAAATTTCATTAAAAAATGTATTGCTTTTCCCTACCAGTTCCCAAAATCAACTGATCTTAGCTTTGATAAACAGTTCTCGTACTTTAGCTTTGCTCAGCAACCAACTGCGCAAACAATTCCTTTGCAGTTCTTGGAAAGACAGCACGCGGACATTTTCTTGAAGCAAACAGGCTTTTAAAAACTAAGATTCACAATTCAGTTCTGTGCCATTCTTACAGATTGGCCTTTTCACCTTTACGGCCACTACAAGGTGTTATTAGAACTACCTGTGTACCACCCAGCTTCAGCTATTCTGTGTTTGCGTCCTCCATCAGATTTGTGCCTCTTCTAGTGTCATTTTAATGATTTTATTCATTTATTTAACCATTACTAGATTACAGCAACAGAAATGCTACTAAAAACACACAAATATGTGAAGCTGGAAAAATTTGAATACTGTGCAAAATTACATTTATTTCAGTAATGTAACTAGACTGAGAGACCATTTAAAGGCTCAGGGACCTTTACAGGTTTTTCTATTTGCAATTATAAATGTTAGCTGATTGGGGTCTTGGTCCGAAAGTAGAGAAAGCAGTACATTAATATTTTTGTCTTCTTCACAGAGATGGACTGGAGTACAGTCCTCCATTCTACCAACCCGTACCCTAAT